TGTTATTTGGTCTACAAAATAAATAGCTAAAATAAATTTCCTATTTCCTCATTTTTCCCTGATGAAACTTATTTAAATGCCAGCTGCATTATAACCTTCAAATAACTCAATACAAGAACTTGAAGTGCTATTCAATGTCTGAATACAAGTAAATGCTAAGAAACCTTAACATTTTGCTTTAATTTTTAATTCCCCATAGCTTTTTAAAATAAATATTCACCCCATAAATATTTGTAATTTCTTAATTTAAAAAATTGCAGACTAAAGGGAGAAGCTGCTTGCTTAAAAAGTTACTGTGGTTAGTAGAAAAACGGATCCTAAGGCATAAGAAAATTCCACATAATGATAATAATAATCTATAATAATAAAAGTGTAATATGCTAATTAGACCTGACAACCTTCTGGACGAAGCTGAGGCTGCAAGGGAAGCCCAGATCTGGGTGCCAGAGGGAAGCTGCTGCCGGCAGCCGGGGTAAGGAAGGCCTACTCTTGCACGAATTTCGTGCATTGGGCCTCTAGTAATAAAATAATAATAATAAATATAAAAATGTCACCAGAAACTCAGCCCAATCTTATTCTTACTTTGTCATTTTTGCAATTATTGCTTTGTTCATACAATACTATAGTTAGTGGTTTAGGTAAATATATTTTTTATATCTTCACAGTTAGGGCCTGATATATCCATTTATTTTTATTCTCAAAGCTAAATGACAAAGATTGGTTGATTGGTTGACTATTTGATTAGTTGGTTTAATCAATGAAAGAAAACTAAGGCTTAGAAAATTAATGACTTATCCAAGACCCAATAGTAAACCATAGATATTAAACCTATGTGTTTTGGTTCCATATATAAAGATTTTCTCCTTAATTGCTTGAAAAAAGTCTCTGGAGTTGGCGTTTTGTTCCCTTTATTTGTTTTGCATTTAATGGAATAGAGTCATGTACCCACCTCATTGATTATGATCACAATCATACTCTTTTCTCTGCTTCCAGGAAAGCATAGAGCGTGGGAAAACATTGGCTACAGAAACCTTAGAAAATTAAAATGTGGTTTTGCTGACTTTCATGGAAATAAAAGTTAAACACTGTTTTCAAAAATTAATACACACATGCACGAACACACACACATATACATACATGCATGCACACATCTATGCATTATTATTTAATGTCTATTCTGTTGTTTTTCTGTAGTTATAGTTTTATATATCCATAGGTCTGTTATATTTCTAGCATTATATGTTCCAAGAACCCAGTAATTATTTAACAGCTCTGTGTATTAGCAAAATGAAAAATGATATTCAAGTGCTGAAGATCCACTCAACTTACTCAAATGTGAGCTTCTCAAAGGGGCTTTTGCTCACTACTCTACTCTCTATCTCTCGCCTTTCTTCATTCTTTAATTCGTTCTAAGTTCCATGAAGCAGGGACTTCAATTTGTTCACTGCTACATCCCCATCACATAGAACAGTACTTGTCACATATTAGCATATTAGGTGCTCAAAAATAATGTTTAATATTTTAATAGGTTTCTTTCTTTTGGTAATTCTCATTTCTCTCTCTCTTCCTCTCTCACTAAACAGTAATACAAAAATCTTATGTTAAAAACTAAAGATGTATATTTACATGCTTTCTGAAAACAGAAATATTTAGACCCTATTTTTAAATCCAAACTACATAAGTTTACAAAACATAGACACATAATTGATGAGAAATATGCTAATAATTCCTAAAGGTTATGCATTAACACATTAGGTTAATTATGCTTTTTGAATTTAAAAAAATATATTTAATTGAATTTATTAGGGTGACATCATTAATAAAATTATATAGGTTTCAAATATACAATTCTATAATACATTATCTGTATATTGTAGTGTCATCACCAACCAAAGACAAGTCTCCTATTACCACGTTTAATCACGTTTTTTCTCAAAGTTCTGAATCAAAATTTAATGACATTGCAATGTTTTAGTTTATAGAGGATGGGCAAAGGAGAGAAAGGAATTTTATGTATACGTATACACATCTTTAACAAGAATCTCAGAAACTGAGGGTATTCAAGGAAGTAAGATATTTAGTAAGGCCTTTAACCTTGACTGAACTTAACTTATCCAAGTATCACGATTACTTGTGATACAATTATTTCATGTCCCTCAAATAACTAAATATTATATACTAGAGGCCAGGTGCACAAATTAGTGCACGGGTGGGGTCCCTCAGCCTGGCCAGTGAGTGCAGCGGCGGTGGCAGGAGCCTCTCCCACCTCCGAGTCAGAGGGACATCACCCAAGGTCTCCCAGACTGCTAGAGGGCACAGGCCAGGCTGAGGGCCTGCCCCGAGTACACGAATTTCATAAAACAGGCCTCTAGTATCTAATAAAATGCTGAGATATTCTAATGAATTGAGCAGTGCACTTTCTAAATATCAACTTGAGTTTTCAACTATATAAGGTTTTAAAAACTAATTATTTGTGAATCCCATCTTTTTATATTGCATACATTTACAGCAGTCATCATTAACACTATCTTAATGTGCTCCATCCATTTAAGAAATAAATATACAAAAATTAAACTGTAACTAATATCCAAACTGAAAATATATATTTTCTACTTCAAATGAATATTAATAAATTTTGACTTTTTTTTAAATAACAGTGTGGATATCTGATTCATGGTGTGTTTTTCAGCATTTGTTCCCAGGCAGTCACACAATTGAGATTCTCAAGATGACTTGGAAATGTCCCCAGTGGACTTCACATACACTTCATGATTTATCTAGGAAATTTGGATGGTACTTATGTTTTTTTTTGCTTTCTGTCTGACTTTTTTCACTGATAGCATACACTTCATTGATATTAAAATGAAATAGAAAATTTCTTATCTCACCAATATTACTTCCTAGATTATCTGCAAAATATCAAACTTGAAGCTATGTTATCCAAAGTAAATGTGGCATGTTGTGAACTTCTAATACTAATCAATCTGCATCCTCCCTTTTAATGCTTAATTATTCAAGTATTTAATATATTAAGTGATCCTTAAAAGAAAATACAGCTCTACCTGGTTTTGCTCAGTGGGTAGAGCATCGGCCTGGGGACTAAAAGGTCCCAGGTTTGATTTCGGCCAAGAGCACATGCCTGGGTTGTGGGCTCGGTTCCCAGTGGGGAGCGTGCAGGAGGCTCTTTCTCTCGCTCCCCCTTCCTCTCTAAAATCAATAAAAAAATATTTTTATAAAAAGAAAATATAGCATTGGCCACACATATTTTCAATGGATTCTCAATGAAGATTTTACTTCTTAAAATTTTATTTATTTATTTATTTAATATATTCTTATTGATTTCAGAGAAGAAGGAAGAGAGAGATAGAAACATCAATGATGAGAGAGAATCATTTATAGGCTGCCTCCTGCACACCCCCACTGGGGATTGAATCCACAACCTGGGCATGTGCTGTTGACCAGAATCAAACCTGGAACCCTTCAGTTCACAGGCCGATGCTCTATTCACTGAGTCAAACCAGCAAGAATGATTTTACTTTTTTAAAAAGGGATGGCTCTATACTAAAATGATTCTTACCTTAATCACCCCAGATCTTATATAAAATTTAATTTATTTATGTTCTGATAGTTGAAAATAAAGATTTTTAAAATTTGAACTACCGCTTACATGGTTTTCAGAATGCCTAAGTATCACATTTAGCCATTTTATTAGAGCATGGTATATAAAACAAAATAATAAATGCAACATTATAAACTTAGCATATAAAATGTTCAAATTAAATTAATCAGAAGAATATGATTTTTGTGCTTTTTTCAAATACAACAAACATATACAAATATGGACAAAACTACCTGTAAAATTAGCCCTTTAGAAGGCACAAATGTAATATTTGATCTTTTAACCATTTGCTGGGGACCAAAAACATCCATAATTGATAGTTATTTGTGATTTTTTGAGAGAGAGATTTGAAAAGCATAAAAGAGTGTACAAAATTACTCTTAGCTACTTATTTAGCTACCAAATGAACCTTCTGGCAACTCAGCCCCCAGCATCTCAGAAAGGTTTCAGTTACTCTACTTTGGACTCATCTGAAGTAATTCCGAAAGGAGAAAAAATTCAGATTTAGCATTATGATGTTAATATCACTACAATACTAACATAATACAACCAATTATATGTGGCAAACTTTATTTGCATTAACTATGATTTTGTTGTATATAGAAAAAGTAATTACATACCTAAAAGGAAAACTTCTATTTACATAGAAGTATGCCCTAGAATATACCTATAAACTTAGAAATTTTCTAAAATCTCAGGGTATAACTTTCTGAGTTTCAAGAGTTTGCTTTACAAGGGCTATATACTAGAATGACAAAACTACAAATAGCTAATTTCATGAATCCATTTAAAGTTTCTTCAACGATCTAGAGCATGGCTTACAGTTAATCACATACAAGTTTAATTTTTCAACTTAATTTTTCATGCAGCATTACTATTTCCAAGTAATTATTTCCTCCATGGCCAATAACTGAGTATTCTAATTATAAACAGCAGCATAAATTGCTGGAGCCCATAATAAATAATTTTTAAAGGGTCAAAGAATCATACAAGCAATGTGTTACTTTTATGCTGGAATAGCAAAGCACATAGTTTTTCAAATCAAAGTGTAAGAGTTATATATGCTGGCAAGAAAATAATCTATTAAAGAGCATGTTTGCTCTATCTTTAGCAAGATAAAGCAAAGAAAAAGCAAACAAAAATCATTTCAAGAAGAAAAACCTGTTAGGCTGTGTGTTCTGCAATTATTTTTCAAATAACATATTTTGCTCTGCCAAGGAAGAAAATAGTTCAGATCTCTCCTCATATGCATGGCACAGTAAAATCTGGCTATGGCATAGTTATTCTGAACCACATACTTCTAGAACTGAAATAATCTGAATTACATGAAGTTCTGAGGTATTCTGAGATATGTAAGATTATACAGCACACGTAAACTCACCCTTCTAATCTCACATCCGGCAGACTTCTGTTAAGGGCAATCAAATCACTGGCCATGAGGTTAAACTGATTGATTTTAAACAGTTCTTTCATTTTCTCCTGGTCATCTTTAGGAATCAGCACAGCCTTTCCCATTTCTCCTGGCCCTTCTTGGTTTCTTGAAATAACAGCTGTAAGATACACACAGGTACACACATGCATAAAAACATAATGAACTGAATAAATAAACTCTTGTGTTGGATTTGATTCTCAACTGTATTATTTATATACTGACAATAATACAATCATCAAATCTTTCACTGCTTACTTACAAACCACACACAACACTAAAGAAACAACCTATTTTAATTCATTAACTCAATGCTGCATGTTGTATTTCAGGTCTAGATATATAACATGACCCGGCTAATCAACACTTAATAATTATGTAAAACAAAATATCAAAAGTAAAACCTTCTCTGACTTCTTTTTTAACATGCTTGTTAGAGATAAAGTTGAGCATTGAGCAGATCAGGTTGCACAAAATAAGAGAACTTGTGAAAATGTACCAACATCAGTTTATTTTCACGTCCATTAAATGTTTGGTATTTCACATACCTACTGCCATTATATCTTTGTAAAAGTAGGAAAGATGGACAAGCCTTCATCCCCGTAGCAATTTGAATCCATCCTGATAGCATTTTCAAATAATTTTCATGGTGGTGACATATAATTGAAAAGGTCAAGGAACATTTGGAGACTCTGCGCTCTGTAAGTGGGACCGCACAGCAATATCCTGGACTTGACTGTTTATTAAAAGGACTCAGTATTCAAAACAGGCCAATGTTCTTCCAATTTCCTCCAAGTAATCACTACTCTAATGTCCCTTCTAGCTATGCAATATCTGTTTCAATATGTGTCTGTGTGTGTGGGGAGAGGTGTACACATATGTCTATATGTACCTTAACATCCTACATAATCCTATATAAGGGTAATATGCAAAATGACCCTAATGGTGGAAAGACTGGTCGCTATGATGTGCACTGACTACCAGGGGGAAGACGCTCAACACAGGAGCTGCCCCCTCATGGTCAGTGCACTTCCACAGAGGGAGTGCAGCTCAGCCAGAAGCCAGCTCACGGCTGGCCAGTGCAGCGGCCATGACGGGAGCCTCTCCCGCCTCCATGGGAGCACTAAGCCATTAGTCAGACATCCCCCGAGGGCTCCCGGGCTACCAGAGGGATGTCTGACTGCCAGTTTAGGCCTGATCCAGAGCAGGCCTAAGCTGTCAGTCAGTCATCCCCCAAGGGGTCCTGGACTGCGAGAGGGCACAGGCCGGGCTGAGGGACTCCTGCCCCCTGAGTGCATGAATTTCATGCACTAGGCCTCTAGTATTAGTATTAAAAGTTTTCACTTTCACAGTCATCCTTATAAAATATTCTACACATCTATTAAAGTCAATGCCATCCTTATATACATTAAGAGGTTGTTTGGCACATGTTATAGTCATAAATGTTTCCTGGAAACAATTGGCCCAACTTATATACTGTTCACTAAGGTAATGAAATATGAAATTATTTCCTTCTGTATTAAAAATGAACTTTGTGCCCTGGCCAGTATGGCTCAGCTATTTGAATGTTTTTTCATGCACGGAAAGGACGCTGGTTCAATTCCTGGTCAGGGCACATGCCCAGGTTGCAGGTTCGATCTCTGGCCATGGAGGTGCAGGAGGCAACCAATCCATCAATTTCTCTCTCTTCTCTCTCTCTCTCTCTCTCTCTCTCTCTCTCTCTCTCTCTCTCTCTCTCTCTCTCTCCCTTCCTCTCTCTTTAAATCAATTTTTAAAATGAGCCTCCTCATGAAAAGTATATAAATAGTACCCAAATTGCAATGGCTCTAGTAATCACCTTAGTTTCAGCTTTGAATGGGAAATTTTCCCATAGCCCTACCTCTGCTTGCACTACCAAAATACAAACAAAACAAAAACCCATTACTTCCTTGGGCAGGACGGGGAGACACAAAACAAAAAACCCCACCAATTTTCGCTTCAAAATGCTTTGCGAAGCCCTATGTAAGGGGACATCAAAACCGAAACAATGGTCCTGGCCAGTGTGGCTCATTTGGTTGAGCACTACCCCAGGCACTGAAAGGTCCCCAACTGATTCCCAGTGCAGGTTCCATCCCAGGTCTGTTGCCTGCAGGAAGCAACCAATTGATATTTCTCCCTCTCCTTTCTTCTCTCTCTACAAAAATCAATAAAGTATATATTTTTTTATCAAAGTGAAACAATGAGCATTTTAAAGAAGTCCCTTACATAACCCAACATTCATTATAAATTATTCCTAAGATACACAATAATAAACTCAGAATTTGACATGTCATCCCAAAAAAGATTAATCAAGTTTGCAAAAATACAAACACTTTAACCACACACACACACACACACACACACACACACACACACACAAAAGGGCATTGCATTCATTGAATGTACATGTCACTGTGGAAATAGGAACATATTATTAAAATAATTCCTGAATATAACATTTTATTTATTATAAAACTGCAAAAATTGTCTAAAATTCTCAAATTTATTAACTAATATTAGTCACAGAAAATGTGAAGTGACTATTGTTCAGTTGGCTGTTGTGAGTAAAGAAACTCCTTCATAAATGTCTACAATTAAAAATTATTATAAAATAATATTGAATTAAGTATGAGCAGAAAAATGAATCACATCAAATACCTAAAGTATTTTAAGTCATGAAATTAAACCTACTGCTGGAATGTGAGGTTTTGTTGATAGTAGTTGTGCTGAATGCCTTTTTTTTTAGCCCTTATTCTGCAGCATATCCAGCCTGCTAACTTCTATGTTAACCTAGGTTGCTAACTTCTACATTTACACCAAGCAAGCTCCCTTGTCCTTTAACTTTGGTTGGGAAGGTGCTGACGGCATTAGGGGACAGAAGATTAATGAGGTTGAGCTATTTATTTCCCTGGTTCCCTCTCTGTGGGGCTGCTGAGGGTTGGCTCTCCCACTCACAATGATAATGTCATGGGGAATGTCCTATGACCAGTTAATGAACTGGTAGAAAGAAACAATGCAAGACTGAATTAAATAAGAATCCACCCTCTATGCGAGCAGCTGCTTGAAGCTGCTTCTTTACAGTCTAACTCAGGGGTGATCGTGAAAGTCAGTGGGTGAAGGGAATCTGCCTACAGGGCAAAACTTCAGAGAGGAAATTTGACCAAATACTGTGTGAATGAGAAATGGCTTGAGGTAGCAATGGCAACACTAATCCATGAGCAGTAGCTAACAGGCTGGCCAGCTGGTAAGAGATTTAAAGGAATAAGAATGAAGAATTAATGACAAAGACGTCTGATGGGAGGGGTATGATAGACATTAATGTCCCATGTAATCTTCCAGAAAGGGCTTCCACTGCAGAGGAGCCTGCAAAAAATCAGATTGACAAAATTATCCCTCCTATAGCTGTCAGTCCATCTTTTTTTTCTTTTTCCTTTTTCAGTTAATCTTTTTTATCAGTCTCTTTTTTTTTCAGTTGTTTAATGGGAGGAAGATCAGGATAACTCAGAGGAAGAGTATGCATGGATTTGATGACATGAACTTCTCCCAGTTGATAGGGTTATGGCCACCCAACCTGCCAATAGCAAGAGAAAACACAAAGGGCACCATTCTTGATCAGCTGGTGAGAGGCTGATTCTGTTGGACCCCTTTCATCATTATGAGGAAAAACGTCTTCTTACAGGGGGAAAGGGATCTAGAATCTGTCTTCTCTAGCTACAGTTCTGTCAGTACCACCATTTGTAGATGTACAAAATCCTATTTTTCTTGGATTTTGGCATAATCTCACTTCAGACCAGGGAAAATAATTTATGGCAAAGAAATGTGACCACGGGTTCACCCAAAATATCCCCTGGTTTCATGTCCTCAATTCTATAAGCAGCTGACCTGTTGAAATGGTGCTGGAGCACCATTTGGGAGAAAAAACCTTGTGGATTACCAATATCCAAAGTGTGATATCATATCTTCTATAGAAAGAATGAACAGGCCCAGTAATCAAAGAAGGAAGTGAGAGTGAAATCTCTTCAGCAAATAACTCATTGAAGCAATATTTGTTTTCTCTCTCTCTAACCTCTGGCTTTATGCATAGAAGGGTTCTAGTTTCCATGTGAGAAATGCTTCCACTGGAGAACACAATCACGGCTCTGTTTAATTGGAAATTGATTCTACCCCCTGGCCATTATGAGCTCCTTAAGCTGTTGAAAGTACTGGCAGAGAAAGGGACCACAATAATGGTTGAGGTGATGGATGTTATTTACCAACAGGAAATTAGATTGCTGCCACACAAGGGGGGCGGGGGGAGCATAACTATTTCTGGAACCTGGAGGTTTGTTTGTTTTTTTCCCCTCTGGAGCATCTCACTTCTGTACTGGACTGAGTAATAGAAAAATGAGGCAACCAAATAAGGGTAAACCAATCAAAGGCTTATATCACAAGATCATACACCACCAGGTAAAGAATACCTACAGACTAGTTACGGAGGGAGCTTAGGATACACATTGCACAGATGTAGCTAAAAGAATATATAATTATCGCCCAGCTAGTGTGCTCAATTGTTGTCAACCTATGAACAAGGAGGTCATGGTTCAATTCCTGGTCAGGGCACATGGTTCGATCCCCTGTCAGGGGTGTGTGGGAGGCAGCCAATCAGTAATTCTCTCTCATCATTGATGTTTCTATCTCTCTCCCTCTCCCTTCATTTCTGAAATCAATAAAAATATATTTTTACAAGTATATAATTATCATCTAAGACCTCATGAACAGTCCACATAAATCATGAGACTATAGCAGCTACTGTATATTTTGTTATTTATGAATTCATTTTCCTACTTTTGTCTAGATTACTTTATATAAAGAACACTGAGGTTTGCTAACATTTTAGGTTTTGCTTGGGAATATGAGTAGACTGACCTCAACTCATAGGACAGTGATGGCAAACCTATGACACACATGTCAGAGGTGACACGGGAACTCATTTTTTTGGTTGATTTTTCTTTGTTAAATGGCATTTAAATATATAAAATAAATATCAAAAATATAAATCTTTGTTTTACTATGGTTGCAAATATCAAAAAATTTCTATATGTGACACGGCACCAGAGTTAAGTT